GTTGGTTGATTGATTGACTGATCTTCAATGTTTACCAAAAGAAAAAATGTGATATTATTATTTCAACCTCAGATTCTTGGCCTTAACATATAAAACATTAAAGATCATATAAAATAACCCATTTTCAGTGTCTTCACTCTGTTCACCCCCCACACATTCATATTACACATGTGGTGTTGGGCTGAACCCGCGGGGAGTAACAGTGTGGAGGTGCTGTGTCCTTCACTCTGTTCTCCTCCTACATGGCCTGCTGTCAGTGTGTGTGTGTGTGTGTTTATGTGAGGGTGGACAACATGGACAGGCTGCTGACTGGCTACAGCTGCTAAAGGAGAACCCTACGCTGGACACTTGTGATATATTTTACATAAATTGTTATGGCTGTATTGATTTAACCCTTAGAACCCTTGAATTTTTGGGAATTTTTTTGGTATTTTGGGTCAATTACAATTACAATTTTAAAGTATTCACATGTGGCAGTCACACATGCCATAGGTTGTTATCTGGGCTGCTCAGATATGCCATTGTTTGACAGAAACAGAAATCTGACATCTTTATGAATTCGGGTCATTTCTGATCAAAACGTTATCTTGCACCTGCAAAATTTTGTATTTGGTCGCTTATAGAGATCTTGACAACAAGCTGCACCTCAGAAACTGTTAGTCTGGAGTGTCTGTGAGCTAAAAGTGCAATAACTTTGATGGTGATTCATTCTGTCGGTTATTATGAGTAAAAATAAACAATTAGCATAAGGCGGACATGTTTTTATTGATTTTCTGTCCTCCTCGATTCAGGCTCAGTGCTAAAACTCTGATACACAGCAAGACAGGCTTTATTTTTATTACAAATTGAGTTGCATATTTAATATCAGATACTTTTAGTGCTCAAAATCAATGTACACTGAAAGACAGAGCTAAATATTCATTTTATAATCATATTTGTCATTTATTGTTACTTCTCTGTTAAAATGTGTTTCAGGGCCTGTTTGTGTAATTTGAGGGAAAGAGGGAAAGTGCACTCATCGTGTTGAATGGGACACTGACAGTTTTATCGCCTTTTTTACGTCTGAGTCAATCAGAAGACTGTTTGAGACACGATGGACAGTTTTATACCGGACACGTTGCTCTGGGATTTTAAATGGAGATTTTAACTGGGCATTTAAATGGAGGTAAACGCAGGATCTGGACGGTGATTTTCTGAACTGGATTACTGACTGAATCATTGCTAAAATCTCCACAGAGTCACTCTGGACGCACAGGGTAAGTCCTGGTCAACATGATGTGTGATTTGCTTTGCTGTACTTTTAAAAAAACAATAATGCAGTGGGTCTACGAGACCACTGAGCAACAAACACATCAACACCACATGAGGGTTAAGCAGCAAACAGGCCTAAAAGCCCTCAGCACAGCTCCACACCAGATAAACTGCCGACATGTGCACTGTTCATTGATCACCCACCCAGAATACCAGCTGTGACACAACAAATATCTAATCAACAGCCAAATATACCAGAATCCTGTGTGGATGATTAAGGTGAGAACTCACGGCTGAGTATTTGCTGACTCTCAGAGAGGAGATCAGGCCGGTGCTGAGAGAAAAGCAGAGATAAATTACTGTCTGACTGAGAACAGAGCATCAATACGGTCACCCATAGGTCAGTCTCAACACCTCTATACATGTAATTAATGCCTGGAGAGAGAGGAGCATGATAGGAATACTGCTTTTCACTGAGTTAGAACAAACAAACTGCCATGTTGAATAAAACTGGCTTCACTGGCTGAACGGATATGAATCTAAATAGGGGTTAGAAACTGAAACAGGAACGAAAAACAACGTAAAACAACATCACACTCTCAGAAATAAAGGTGCTAAACTGTCACTGGGGCAGTTCCCCTCTCATCACTGGGGTGGGACCCTCAAGGCTCCATCTCAGTACCTTCAGTCAGGGAACATAACTGAACCATAATCCACTGAATGATATGTTCTAAGCTGTACTGACTCCACACACCCCGTCTCGTCTCCAGGCTTTTATTTTACTGTTCTGTTTAAAACATTCGGTTATGAAAAGGTACAAATACGAACTTTTCACCTGGAAAAACTTATTTAAGGTTCACAATCAGACCTTAAACCACTGTTGGAGCTTTGAGGGAACATTTACACTGTTTGTACCTTGATAAGCAAAAAATGTACCTGAACAGAACCTTTATTTCTAACAGTGCAGAACATGAGCGCAGCCGGGAACTTTCACAGTCACAACTTTACTGTTATTAAAAATTAGTATGGGGTAATATTTGAAGAATTATGACTACACTCATGATTTTCTGGAATTTGCACTCTGTATACTAAGATGTGTTAAAAATCAAATTTAAATCAGCAGCAATCTGCGGTGTAGTAGGTGGGAACACTGGGTGTTCTTAGGGACTAAAAGTCTTATGTAAAAACAAAGAAGTCAATGTAAACTTAATTCAGTAAACCATTATAATGCTGTGAAAATAACATTGTTATTATATACAAAAAAGTGCATTAATTAATTATATTGAGTGTAAAAGTTGAAAACTCATCATAAGAATTAAAGGATGAGAGAATAAAATTATACTATTATAAAATGTTTTGCTTTATCATTATTTAATACATTGAAATACCATGCTTTCATGTATTCACTTCATACCAACACTGCTGACAGGTATTTGCTAGCATCACATTAGTGTTATCAGTGACTGGAGAGAACGATGGCAGAAAAAACGATGCAGCAAACACAACACAAAGGTCAGCCTCAACATCTCTCTCTCTCTCTCTCTCTCTCTCTCTATATATATATATATATATATATATATAAAAGTGATGTCTGAGGGGAGGAGAGCGTGACAGCAACACTGTTATTCACTGAGTTAAAACAAACAAAAACCACCAAGTTGAAAATAACTGCCTTTGCTGGCTGAACGGATTCTAAGTAGGGAATAGAAACTGAAAAGGGAACGAAAAACAAACAACAAAATAAATAAATGTATAAACTAAAAAACAAACTATATTTACAATATTCCCATGGAATTCTGACCACATTCATGATTTTCCCAGCTCTGGAATTTATATTCCATATACTTTTTATTAAAGGGGACCTATTATGCTCATTTTCAATGTCCGTAATTTTATTTTTGGGCTCTACAAAAACAGATTTAGATGCTTCAAAGTTCCAAAAACACATTACGCTCTGTTGGAACTCCTGTGTCTTTAAGCCCCGCCTCCAGATGAGCCCAGTGTGCTCTGAATGGTCAGCTCAACCACTCTGTTCTGAATGTTCGACCGCCAGAGCGGTTCCGCCCCTGTCCTGCAGCCTCCAGTAGACGCTGTGCACTGTGTGAGGGGGCTGAGCTCACCGGTAGGCGGCAGTAAGGACTATGTTACAAGATGATGTCATCCTGTAACAAAGGAAAAGGGCTGGTAATCCAACGAGGCGTTTCAGGCAGCTGAGAAAAGTGGTTTCTGAAAAGTGGAGTTTCTCCCTCTGGAGGGAACTTTGGGACTCTACAAACGTTTACATGCACCTAAAGCTACATAACACAGTAAAGGAATGGGAAAAACAAGAAAAGCTGATAGGTCCCCTTTAAACCCTTAAAATCTCAGGCTTATTACACACTAAGACTTATTATTCTACAACTACAGGGACTTTAATGTAAGCTGGCTGGTCTATTCTTAGATTGTATTAGTGTGTAATAAAACTGGACCCATGGCCATCTAAGGAATGACTCACAATCGGGCAAAGGTGACATGTTTGCTCTCTGTGGTCAGGGTAAAATCAAAGTCCACACAAAACACACAAACACAAACTGGTCATGTTTATGTTCAGCTAATGTTAAGCCTGCTAGCTAACTCACCAAAGCCTTTTACAGACAATGAATACACTGCAGTTAGTAGCAGTGATTGGGTTACTGTTATTTTGATTGCGTACGCTTAATATCAGCACAGTATACTCTATGTGTACATATACACATATATATATATATATATATATATATATATATATATATATATATATATATATATAGGAAAACATACTTCACGTTTTATATAAGTCAATGAAACCAGGTTTTTTTCTAAGTAACTTTGGGTTGTTTCTTTTAGTCCATTCATCTTGAAATTGATACACAATGTAAAGGGTAATGGGCATTTTCAAATTATGTCAAAAACTGAAAAACGTCAAAAATGGAGGTTTTCTTCCGACAACAGTGAGATATATGTATATATATATATATACATATATATATACATACATACACACACACACACACACACACACACACACACACACACAACCCCAACTGGCCAAAGCAGGCCAAAAACAGTGGTGACTATTGCACCATACAACAGAGCTGTATTAACTGAGTGCACCACTGAACACATCCACGCATCCATGTAAAAGTTAATTATGTATTATTTTTAAAGCAGCCAGAATATTTAATGGATAGATAATTCCTGATTTCACTTGGAAATCATTCATCAAAGAGATTTAACATTTTTTGTGGAGTCCCACAGGGTTCCGTTTTAGGGCCCTGGCTCTTCTCCTTGTACATGTTACCTCTAAGTGATGTCATTAGGACATTCCTGCTGCTGTTAGACTGTACAACCACCACTGCTCCCAGTAGAGCCCTCCCACACCCCCCATTAGACCTCACACACCTACAGCACATACACTGTGGAATTCATCACCACTTCCTGTGTGCAATATAATTAATACTCCATGTGCAATATTTAAAATATCTCTATAGTGTAAATATTTTTTTGCTTTTCTATTTATAATGTTTACATTGTTAACTCCTCACCATCCCATGGGCAACATGAAAAACTCATCCTTACAGTGTAAATATTTTAGCTTTTTATTTATTTATAATCCTTTATATTGTTAATTTTTGTGTAGGATAGAGTTTATTATTTTTATCGTATAAAAAGTGTGTGTGTGTGTGTGTGTGTGTGTGTGTGTGTGTGTGTGTGTGTGTGTGTGTTCGTACTTGCCGTGGATGACTCCGTCTGGATTCAGCATTGGGATGATCTTCAGTATGAAGGCCTCTCTCAGACTTTCTGCCACTGGGTCACTGCTGCACAGGAACTCCAGAGTGCCTCTCATTACCCAGCTCGCATTGCTCTCCCCGGGGTGAACTCTTGCCGTCAGAACCACGTATGGCCGGTTCCCTACATACACACACACACACACACACACACACACACACACCACACACACACACAGAAACAAAAGGGCTTTATTAAGACCTTTTTCTTTCCAACAGCAAGAAGTTATTAAATGATAAATAATACAACCTTATTATCTATTTACAGTAATTCAGTGATTTGGTTTCTACCTCAGATTTGATCACCTTTTTATCTTTATGGACATTTTATTATGTTCTACGGTTCTATAGGAAAGAAAATGGTTCAATGTAGAGCTCATAGAACTCTCTGCATAATTAAAGGGTTCTTTGCATGATGAAAGGGTTAGATGTAGACGGTTCTATTAGAACCCTTTTAGAAAAGGGTTCTACATATCACCCAAAAGGGTTTCTCTATTATTACAAGTTTGACATCATTACTATAGAAGAACCCTTTTGGGTGCTAAATAGAACCCTTCTCAAAAAGGTTCTACATAGGACCCAATATGCATCAATCTGAAGAGCCCTTTCATCATGCAAAGAACCCTTTAATAATGCAAAAGGTTCTTTGAGTGTTCACAATTCTATATAGAAGCATCTTCTTTACTAAAGAACCCTTGAAGAACAATGTTTTAAGTGCATAGAGTCCTTTTCAAAAAGGTTCTATATATAGTGCCATCAGCATATTTTCCATCTTTCTGAAGAACCCTTCCATGATGCATAGAGCCCTTTAATCAAGCAAAGGGTTTTTTGAGTGTTCACGATTCTATGTAGAACCATTTTCTTTACTAAAGAACCCCAGAAGAACCATCTGTTTTAAGTGCCTTTTTAAACACCTCAGTGTCGCTGCTGGACTGAGAATCGTCCACCAACCAAAAATATCCAGCCAACAGCGTCCTGTGACCACTGATGAAGGACTAGAGGATGACCACCACAAACTGTGCAGCAGCAGATGAGCTATCGTCTCTGACTTTACATCTACAAGGTGGACCGACAAGGTAGGAGCGTCTAATAGAGTGGACAGTGAGTGGACACAGTGTTTAAAAACTCCAGCAGCACTGCTGCGTCTGATCCACTCAGACCAGCACAACACACACTAACACACCACCACCACGTCAGTGTTACTGCAGTGCTGAGAATGATCCACCACCCAAATAGTACCTGCTCTGTGAGGGTCCATGGGGGTCCTGACCACTGAAGAACAGGGTAAAAGGGGGCTAACAAAGTATCAGAGAAACAGATGGACTACAGTCTGTAACTGTAGAACTACAAAGTGCACCTATATAGTAAGTGGAGCTGATAAAATGGACAATGAGCGTAGAAACAAGGAGGTGGTCATAGTGTTATGCCTGATTGGTGTATATGTAAACAGGTGTGCACACACTCTACCTGAGGAAATTGAGGTGTCTCACACCTGAATTACCTGCATGAACTGTTTAACTCTTATTGGCAAACAAGCAAATAAACAAACAGAACAATAAGATACAGCTGCAGGCACCAAACCCCCCACTCGCTCTCGCCTCCGCTCACGAGCAGAAGAGAGACCGCGGATAAGCCGGGGGTCCACAGGGTCCGCAAAAAACGCTGCTTCTATTTTAAAAACGTAAACATAATTCGCTTTAGAGACTCTGGTGCAGCCACAGATTCTGACCCGAGTAGCTACCACTTGATTACACATATTCATTAAGCATAAGCGTGGGCGATACAGCAAAAATATCATATCATGATACTTCAAGACATTTTGATCATATACGGTACATATCACTATATTATGACGTGCAGTTGGTCAGTGTTTATGAATGGATGAAATCCACAATATCCTTAGAAAAGCATACAGTGCATCACAACAACAAAATTCATCTCAGTAATGATGAAATAGTCATATTGTCCACTTCTAATTATGCATGAATACCAAGGTTTGGGTTTTTTCCTATGATGCCACTGACCTCCAACGCTACACTCTTAAAAAAGAGGGTTCTTCCAAGGTTCTTTGGTGAAGAAAGTGGTTCTTTATACAACCATGAACACTCAAAGAACCCTTTGCATCATGAAAGGGCTCTTCCAATAGATGGAGAATGGCTGTAGATGGTTCTGTATAGAGTCCTTTTGAAAAGGGTTCTTCTACTGTTACGATGTCAAGCTTGCAACAATAGAAGAACCCTTTTGGGTGCTATATAGAACCATTTTCAAAAAGGTCTCCATCTCCATCAATCTTAAGAACCATTTTATGATGTAAAGAGCCCTGATGTAAAGGGTGTTCATGGTGCTATAAAGAACCATTTTCTTTACTAAAGAACCCTTGAAGAACCATCTTTTTTAAGAGTGTAGTGTTTAGAAGGACAATGTGTTGCATATGGTTTTATATAACACCAAAAAGGGTTCTGCTCTTGTTACGATGTCAAGCTTGTAACAATAGCAGAACCCTTTTTGGTGCTATACAGAACCATTTTCAAAAGTCTTCTATAAAGATCCACATACAGCACATTCTCCCAATCTAAAGAACCATTTCACCATGCAAATAACCATTTAATCATGCAAATGGTTCTTTGGTCTATGAAGAACCACCGTCTGTACTAAAGAACCCTTGAAGAACCATCTTTTTTTAGGAGTGTAGGGTAAGATGAGAAACGTGGCTCATCTCACGTCACAAAAAGCCCAACTAATCTAGTAAATTATAGCTATGTGAGTTTGTGAAGTGCTGATTTACTGTAAGACTCACATCTGTTGCCTTTGCTGTGGCCTCATTGCAGTGAATGTGAATCTCAGATGTTCATAAAGCTACAGCAGCATCAGAGAAACAGCCAGTATCGCATTTCAGACGCGTATCTGCAGCTCACTGACCAGCGTTATTTGGTAGTACAACCAAAACAGATGCTATGCAAAACAGCCAGCAGCTACACAGAAACTCTCACTCAACAAAACAGAATGGAGCATTTCATTTAACCCTTATGAGTCGGGAACATTTTAGCCAATTTTAAATACTTTTGATTTTGCCTTTTTATACCACATTAAAAAATCCAACCTCCAAACTCCACAAAACTCCTCAAAACAACTGTAATGTCTCTCTGGCTACGTTCACATTACCAAGTTGAAGTGGCACAAATCTGATTTTCTGCCCTAATGTGACTCAGATCTGATGTTTTCAGAGCTGCGTGGACACAAATCTGACCTTTTCAAATCCGACCGGAGCCACTTCCATATGTGGTCCTAGATCAGATACGAATCCGATTCGTAGCCATGTGACCTTAATGGGACGCTCAGATCGGAATTCATGTGCTTTTTTCCACTGCGCCATCATTCAGCGTTACCATGGCAGCAGCGCCGAACAGAAGTTAAAGCCTGTAAACGGTGGAAAAGCAGCTCATCTCACCTTTTTCTCCTTCGTCTCGCTCTAATAATGAAGCTGAGAGCTGATCAGAGTTAATTATCTTCTCAGCGAAGCTCGTTCTGCTCGTTAGTTTGTGCTGATGATGAACGTGATTCATTCACGTGACGTTACTGAGTAGGATGAGCTCATGAGGGTCAGTTCAGGACGCCGGTTCGTTCACACTAATGAGAGATTTGAATCACTTACCTAAACGAGTGTGAACCATCGTGTCAGAGAGATCGGATTTGAGCAAAAAATCGGATTTCAGCAATGAGGCTTGTAATGTGAGCGTAGCTTCTGTCTCTGTCAATCTCTCTTCTCCTTCTCTCTCTACCACTCCTCCACTCAGTTCACCTCTCCCTGACAACCCTATTCAGCCTGCAGATTGGAGTCAACAGATTCTGACATTTAGGTCTTAATGTGACAAAAAAATGATAAAAAAAAAGATGAAAATGTTAAGATAAATGCAAAAATGGTGTCTTCAAGTAAAATTACCTTAAATGTAATCAATGAATCTAATATTTCTCCTGTTGAGATTGTCGTAAGCTTAATTTGAGATTATTTACCTTATTTCTAGACATTTTTACTTGTTTTACATCATTTTATTAAGTAAATTTATCTCACTATATTGGTAGATCATTTTGCTTGTTCTAAGAAATGAGCTTAAAACCAGCTAAATTATCTGCCAGTATACTGAGATCATTTTACTTAATAAAACTACTGAAAACATGTAAAAAGTGTCTGAAAATGAGCTAGAATATCTTGTAAGTGCACAACCATCCCAAAAGGAGAAATTTTAGTTATTTTGATTTAAAAAAAAAAAATTGATTAGATTTAAAAACTTGACAAGATGTCATTTTTGCAGTGCAGCCCCCTCCCATTTTGCACACTTTTAGGAACGCACATGATTTTTATATTAAATTTATTTTATCTTATTTATCTCATTTTTATTTGGTCAATCAACATCAAACAAAAACCTAGCACAGCATTTCAAACCAGCACATCTGTTGGAAGTCTTTGGAATCTTTGTTTTTATGCTGTGATGTCTTGAACCGGCCATGTGTTTGATCACACTGGTGTGATGAGTGACTTCAGAGGGTTCACTGCATAGAGACATGCAAGTTTGTGACATACAGTACAGATTACAACATCTGTTTGAAATTAAAATTGTTTTTGATGTTCCGAGTACCGTCGTAACTGAACTGTATGCATCTTTTCTTGAAAAGCACTTTAGAAGTGCCATGCAATTATTATTATTATTATTATTATTATTATTATCATTATTATTATTATCATTACTATTATTATTATTGCTATTAGTATGTCTGTGCACTTGCACAACTAGTGATCTGGCTTTTTTAAGAGAGTTAGATCAGTCGGCTCAGCTCACCAACTAAACCGACTCTTTTGGCTGCCAAACGTTTCTTAATTCAGTAGCACTGACAGCAAACAGGCTTTCAGCCAAGCTAACTAAGATCTGCTGGTACAAACACACACTTTGTATTGATTACATGAAAGTCAGGAACACCGACGGAATGAAAGAAACTGTAAGAACAGAACATAATAAATACTGAATGAGCGACAGCAGCAGTTTCAATGCTGTTCAGGTAATCCTGAAGGGCTCAGACAGTGTAGGACACACCTGACTACTGAATTAAACATCCTCTCTGACTGACAGG